CCAATAGCATCAGTATCACCTAGAATGTTGCTAGAAATGCAATTAGAAATGCTAGGGGAGTGGCCCAGCAACCTGTGTTTTAACAAACCGTCTAGTGATTCTGTTGCACGTTAAGTTTGAGAGCCTACTGTAACTATACTTGCTTGGGTGACTTTGGTACCAGACAGATCAATGTTAGTTTCTAATCATAGTTTGAAGGTGTTTTGTACCTTACCTCTTCCTCTTGTTAGCTTTGGGACCCTAAGAGGGTCACTTAACCTGCTGGACCCCAGTGACATATTTTATCTGAATAATAGGTAATAAGAGTCTCTTCCTTCATAAAGTCCTCCAGATGGGATCTATACACTTCTCAATTAGCTTCTGTTCCTTACATAGAATTTGAGTCTTAGGGCAGGTTTGCTGTTTTTAAGTTTGTGGATTGTAATTTAAATTTAACTTACAAATTTGGGCATTCACAGAACTCTCTAAAAGAACTAAGAGTTACAAGCAGTAGGGAGCTGGAGCCTGCTCCTGCTGGCTTAAAAGAAACAAAACCCCTGCCAGCCCCTCTCAAACTTATATACTGGTGGACATCTCTTCTGTACTCTGTGTTTAGTGACAGCAGGTTAGAAGCTTGAAATTGGCCATGGTGAGGGTGATTACACCACAGAAATTAGTAATTGCTACAAACCAAGACTTTTTTCCCCAGGGAGCTGGTTGTTAACATAAATCAGCAAATCTTGGTTACAGGGTTATGTTCAAATTAGTAGAAGCTTTACCTACATGTTTACTGGATCTGATATTTCAGATTTGTCATCAGTTAAGTCCCATTATAAAGATAAACATCGGAATATATACAGTTATGACCTCTTAAGATCATTTTGTTCAATAGTAGACCACATATATGAAAGTGATCCCATAGATTATATCATTTAGGGATGTTGTAGCTATATTAGTTTATATAAGTTTATGATGTTTGCTTGTGATGAAATCACCTAACAAGGTATTTCTCAGAATGCATGCTCCTCATTAAGCTATGCATCACTTGTATTAGTAAGTATTTCGTTACCATTACAAAATACCTAAGACAGCCTAACTTTATAAAGAAAAGAGGTAGACTGCAGTTTTGGAGGCTGAAGGACAAACAGCAAAACACAGGTTCTGGAGACCACCACCTGGTAAAGGAGAGGGTCATATTTCGAAAGAGGAGAGAAACTCAAGGGTCAGGTTTAGTCTTTTATAATAACTTGCTCTGATAAGAACTCACCCAGGAGACTAAGTATCCCCTCCTTAGGATAGCACTCTAAGACCTCTCACTAGGCCACACCTCTATTTTTTTAGCACCCACCTGTTAAAGGTCCATCAACTCCTACATCACCACACTGGAGACCATGCTCCCAACACATAGATCCCTGGGGAACAAACAACATCCAAGCCATAGCAACTGTATATAAAATTGGTGATATGGACTAAAAGTAGTGTGTTTTGTTGGTCTGCAATAGGTAAACAAAACTATAAAATTTACCACCAACATTTAAATATTAAAAGGTTTCACATAAAATCTGGATTTCTGGTTCTTGCAAAATAGGGTCATCTGGCAGCACTGGGGCCCATTACCACATAGCAACAATGAGCTGGAAGTGGATTGTAAATACATGCAGATAGTTTTGTTGACACAGTTCCCATTACTCAGTTACTTCCATGTAGACCAGAGCTTCACTCATTCTTTTTTTTTTTTTTTTTTGTACTAGAGATTGAACCCAGAGGCACTTAACCACATCCCCAGCACTTTTTATGTTTTGAGACAGGGTCTCACTAAGTTTCTTAGGGCCTAGCTAAATTGCTGAGGCTGGCTTTGAACTTTCGATCCTCCTGTCTCAGCTTCCTGAGTCACTGGGATTACAGAGGTGTGCCACCATGCCCAGCTTCTATTTTCTTACTTCCTCCTTTAGGTATTTGAGTTTGTGATTCCTAATATAAAGAAAACTTTGCCTAGAAAGAGTGTTTCTCCGGGCTGGGGTTGTGGCTCAGCGGTAGAACACTCGCCTCTCACATGTGAGACCCTGGGTTCGATCCTCAGGACCACATAAAAATAAATAAACAAAATAAAGATATTGTGCCCATGTATAACTAAAAAAATATTTTTAAAAAGAGTGTTTCTCCACAAAATTAATTCAGGTTTACCAACAAACTGCAAAGTATGATTAATTCCCACCTGGTTTTGAATTTCAGATGGCCTACTTGAAAAGTAAAGTAGCAATTTGACTCATTACCTGAAGCTGGGAGTCCATCTTTTTTCCTATAGTTCTCCAAGAAAGTGACTAATATCTTCTGTTTCCTATTAGACAAATAGGGCTGTGTGACCTCAGGCTCTAGAAATATCCATCCCTCAGTAAAATGTATAGAAGAGATGTTTGCTACTAGCACTTTATTTGAAAATCATTTTGAGGGGAAAGGTGAGATAATAAAGTTTCCTTTCAGACTGACATTGTATATGCTTAGTTTATTTGCCTTGACAGCTTTTTCTTTTTCTGCCCGATGTAGTTTCAAACTGTCCAGCTGGATGGACTCTGTCTGTGTTCATGATGTTGGTTCTGGGCTTGGCTGTCAATATTGTTGATGAACCTCTGATTAATTTTTAAGCAGGTTAGCCTATGGTCCCCAGACTGGCTGATGAAATAGCTACTTTCCAGCTTGGAGTGATCCATGAGGTGATAACTTTCCCTGATCCATTTAATATATGTTTATTAAGTAATGATTAGGGGCAGGCCTTTGAGCCAAGTGCTGAGGAATCTAAAAAACAGCCAGATTGTGACCAATGTTGTAAATACAATGGAAGGCTGTGGACTTCAGGAAAATAGAGGAGATATTATTTACCCTGTTGTGTCCCACTATACTCTTTCAGGGATCCAGATAATTCTATACCAATAGAAATGCCCCCTTAATATATCTGTAATTATATGCATCTCATTCGAATATTTGACTTGATAAAAAAATGAAATAGCTCATAAATGGTTCCAAACATATTTATTTTATCACCAGTGGTCATTTAGAATCTTTATTTCCATGTATCAAGGATACTTTCAGGGTCTGGGGGTGTAGCTCATTGATAGAGTATTTGACTAGCATACACGAAGTTCTGGGTTTAATCTCTAGCACTGCAGGAAAAAGAAAAAAAAAACACAATAATTCTACCACCTTGCTGGTATTCTTTGCAGGTATAGATAGATTCAGCCAATTTTTGTTAAATAGGAACCTCAGATGAGTGACACCAAGTGAAAAGTTTTCTTCTTGCTAACTTTTTAATGAAGATGATGTCTTTTTTGGCAAAATATCTAAGTCTAGTTCTTGTATAGGTTGTTTCCAGACCCCAGAAACAATATCCATTATGGCAATGAAGACAACAGAACAGGGAGTCACCGGTAGGTATTTGCTAGTTGTGTCACTTAGGCACCATGAAACTTAACTATGTAATAAGGTTAAAAATACCTACTTACAGGGTTTTTTTGTGAGAATTTCATTGAGTTTCATGTTGGCAATTGTTAATCACTAATTTTTGTTTGATTTTTTTCTGACCATGGAAAATGATTATCAACCCAAATCTCTGGGCCAGTGGTATACTCTTAAGGATAATGAATTGGGGCTGGGGATGTGGCTCAAGCGGTAGCGCGATCGCCTGGCATGCATGCTGCCCGGGTTCGATCCTCAGCACCACATACAAACAAAGATGTTGTGTCCGCCGAGAACTAAAAAATAAATATTAAAAAAAAAAGGATAATGAATTAAACTTTTGAGGATGCAAAGTGGCCACTAGTTTCCAATGCTAGTCTACAGTCAGCCTGTTGTCCTTTATACCCCTCCCAACCCTCACCCTGCCCCCCATACCTAAGAGAGTGGGCGTTTTTATCTTATAGGAACATTAAAGCCCACTCTGGCCACTCCAGCTGATGAGCCCTTTATATGTGCCAACCCCTGGATAAACACATCACATATATTATTATCATATAATCTTTACAGCAACATTTTTATTCCCATTTTACAGGTAAGGAGACTGAGAAGTCAAATAATTCACCTTGTATCCTTTAGCTAAGTCAGTTTTAGAGCAAGAATTCAAAGTCAGATCTGTCTAACTCCAGAGCCCAGGTCTGGGAAAAGGGTAGCTCTGCTTTGTGAGCTCAAGAGATTTTCACCAGTTCCCAGGCAAGGAAGTGTAGGATTCTCATTACTTTCTGAATGTTCTCACTTGATGGCACGTATTTTCCATGGCCTTTCTTAACAAATGACCACAAACTTGGTGATTTAAAATATTAGATTATTTTTTCTCATAGGATTTTTTGTTTTTGTTTTGTTCTGGTGGTAATAGGAATTGAAGCCAGAGACCCTCTACCACTGAGCTGGACCCTGCCTCTTTTATTTTATTTTGAGACAGGGTCTTGCTAAGTTGCCAAGGCTGGCTTTGAACTTGTGATCCTTGTGCCTTGGCCTCCTGAGTTGCTGGGATTACAGGTTCGTGCCACTGTATCACAGGCTGCTCATAGTTCTTGAGGCTGCACCTCCTTCAGAGGCTCTTGGGGGGATTCCATGCCTTGCTTCTTCCAGTGTCTGGTGGCAGCTCTCAAATCCCTGTCTTCATCTTCTCATGACCTTGTCCTGTGTGTCTTTCACATCTTTCCTGTGTGTCCCTTACAAGGACTCTTGTCACTGGCCCACCCAGATGATTTAGGATGATTTCTTCAAGCTCTTTAATTACATCTGCAAAGAGTGTTTTTCCAAACCACATTCACAGGTTCATGGACAGGGACCACCATTCACCCCCTATACATGCTTTTCCAGGCATGCGCCTGTCCTTTAGCACAGCTGCTTTTCCAAGGGACTAATTGAATATCAACAAAGTTTCACAACTTGTTTCAAGGATGTTCCCCTGCTTTTAAAGTGAATGACCCAATCTTAAATCCAGCTAAGCTTTTGGGGCTTCTCCCAAGGTGGTCCATGGTATCTTACAAGGTTTTGTTCTCTTTCAGATTGCTGACCTGCATCTCCATAAACTGGATGAACTGGACTGTCTCATTCAGGGTCTGCTTTACGTCGACTCCGTCGGCTTCAACGGCAAGCCAGAATGTTACTATTTTGAAAACCCCACAAATCCTGAATTGTGTCAAAAAAAGCCATACTGCCTTGATAACCCATACCCTATGTTGCTGGTTAACATGGGCTCAGGTGTCAGCATTCTAGCAGTGTACTCCAAGGACAACTATAAAAGAGTTACAGGGACCAGGTAAACATGTTTTCCACTAGGAGAACCTCTCTGTGCTTAAACACCAGGTCTCTTCCTCAATGAACAGTGTAATAAAAAGGTTATTTTTATTGAATCTGTTTTTAAAAGAAATGTCTTGGCTTCCTTGGCCAACCAAAAAGGACTTATTGAGTGACATGTTAAGGGAATGAAAGGGTGATTTTTATAAAGGTTAATAAAATCCAGTCTTTATCTTTCTGGAAATTGTGGTCAGATTGAGGGGAGAGGGTTGTACCCAGCAGAAGATTGCCAACAAGATGATGCGTATTGAATGCTAAAGGAATGGTAAGGACAATAGCTCAATAGAAGTCAGGTAAAAGGGCACTTGCTATGGTCAGAGAAAACTTCAGCGAAACCTTCTGTTGGACTCATTGGTGCCTAGCACAGTGCAAATTGCTTAATATGCCATTCTAACCAACAAACAAAACAATGTTTACAAAGATTTTTTTCTCCCTACTTCAGGTATATACTCTGGCTGAAAGCTAGAATAGTCAGTATAGCTCACAGGGAATTTTGGAATGTAGTAGACAGGAAAATAGCTCCTATAACCACAGTTGGAAAGGGTGCCTTGTTTTTTAGGACACCCCCACCCCAAGGCCCTGTGAAGGACAAATGAGCTCAGCTTCATGTTCATGAGGATTCAACATGGGAAATGATCTCCTGTCAAATATTTTTGAGAAACCCCAACATAAACAAAGTTAAAAAGGTTTTCCTTACTGATTTTGTAAGAAGAATTCTTCCAACTTACTGGACAGCAGAACTCATTTTTAAGGAACAATTTACAGACCTAGTGCCTTGTAGAACATGTGTCAGGGCATTGTATTGAAACCCTTGTTTTTGATAATTGAAGCTATATTCTCTGGGTCTCAGTATTCTCATTTCATTTCTGCCATGGAAGCTGTTGCTGCTTACACTGTTTTTACAGACTTTTCCAGCACGGAATTTAGCAGTACTACTCACCCATTAGGAGAGGGACTCTGCTTTTCCAGTGTACTTTCATGAGTTATGATGGCTCTGCATAAATCAGTGGCTTCCCACTGAGAAGCGGAAGTTTTAGCTTCTTCCAGACAGTGTTAGATATGTCTGGAGGCATGTTTTAGTTGTCATCAATGGAGGTGGGATGCTACTGATATCTAGTAGAATCGAGGTCAGGGGTATGCTAAATTCTACACTGCATTGGGCAGCTCCCCCAACAGCAAAAAATCATCAAGCTGCAAATGTCAGTAGTGCTGCTTTTGAGGAACCCTGCAAACCTCTTCCCCCATCGGAAGCCTACTTGGGTCATAGTTGTGACTCTGTCACTCAGTTGCTACAAGGTATACATTTTTTCATTGAGAGAATACAGAGCTTGTTCTGTCACACAAGATCAAACTTTACCTCATGGCCTCATTGGTACTGTCAGGAATATCAAACACATGGATATTTCAGCTGAGTTGGTTTTACCTTAGAGAGTAATCTGATAAAGTTATAATTTTTAAGCGACTATAGTCTTCTTCCTATAAAGAGTAATTGAATCCATACGGCTAGTCCAAGGAACAAACTAAATGTTTTCCACAATTACAGATGCTTACAATTTAGTTGATGAACATGTAACAGTGTATGAATTATATGTCAGGTACATTGTCAAATGTGTAGACTCCAGGGTTCTGAGTCATCCCAAATAGCTGCTAAGGAGCTAATTATGGTTGGTTTCTCTTATGCATATAACAGTGCCTATAAATTCTAGTTATTGGTAAATATCCATTAAAGACGAGTGTTCTGCAAATATCAACATACACTGTCTGGATGTTCAAGTTTCCCTGTAAGCTCTCTCTTCAATCAGTGTTTTTGGAAGTGTGCTACAGGAACCTGCTCAGGGACAGGAGCCCTTTTAGGGGCTGCCACATGTAGTGGAAGAGGGGAATGGAACCTTATGTTTGTAAGGTCTCTAATCCTTGTTCCATCAGAGTTGTTCTGCCAAGGGTTTCTTTTGGTCCAAGTCACAAAAACCCCAGACATAAACTATTTGAGTTAGCAGTAAATATCAGTATGTAGAACATACTTTTGGGAATCACTGATCTAAACAAATGGTTTGAGCATTACATTTTAGTACTCTTCTTATGAACTGAAAGCTATAACTTTAGGTTTTTGTTATTTTATCATACTCTATTTTCCCATTAAACATTTCTCAGAGACCATGCCATTTATTTCGGGATATCACTTTTCTTTTAAACTTGATTAATTTGGTTATGTGTAATTTTCTCAGACTGAGTAGCAATTTTTTTCTAGTGACACAACTCCAAGTTTAGTGTGAAAGTCAATGGAAAAAAATAGTACTTTACAGTTGATTTTGGTAGAATATGTAGCCTGTTAAAAGAGGAATGTTAAAAAACTGGCAAAAGTAGCAGTACATCTTATCTAATCATTTGGAAATCTGTTTTAAGGGTAATGAACACTAATGCTCATTAATGACCAGTGTTCTGAAATTATCAACAAATTGGTTACTGAAACGAGTAACTGAAGATTTCTTCTACGTCTCCCAAAAATCTTGCAGTGTTATGAATAATGATAGTATTTGGTGGCTTTTCCTAGCAACATATTTTTGTCTCTGATATACTGATGATTTTAATGTGCGTCTGCCAGAACAAACAGGTGTATCTGATTGTCAGGGAGGAAATCACTTGATTAAATAATGGTTAGCAGGTTGAGGATATTAATAAAGTGCTAGGAGACTCTTGGCTCTTCTGTCACTGTGCATTCTTCTCTCCTATCTGCAGTGTACCAGCTGTACCAATGCATGCATGCYTTCCCCATTAAGCTCTTTATCTGGAGTCACTTGCCATTTTCCAGTCGTATTTGCCCTTTTTCACGTTTACCAACACATCCGTTGATGAGTTACCTTCTTTCTAAGTCAGCCAATGTCTTCAGCTGCCTACATTTGGAGGAAGTTGTTCAATACATTCATTAAAATGAATCCCTAATATTTGAAGAAAGATTCTTAAGGACAAAAGGCAGTGAGAATCTAGAAATGTGAGCAAAGAACTTCTTTTTAAAAATATATAGGGAGGATAGAAACGCCCCGGCCGGCGCGGCGGCGCGCGGGGCGGGCTCTCGGGCTCCCGGAGGCAGCGGCTAGCGTTCGGGAGTCTCCGAGCCCCCGTCGTTGGGCTCTAGCCAAGGGTCTCTGGCGGTTCG